AAAGGAATGCTGCGGCAACATTGCTCTTCATATTTTTAAGAGAAACTTCAGGTTTCTCGAAAGATTATTCGATCGCAGTGGAAAACTATTTGACCGGCGAGTGGATTGGAGTGGCATAAGAAAACACGTACAAAGCTGATTGCAAGGAATTACTTATATTATTATTAACTTCACGCTTGCGCGATTTTCATTGCTTCCGTCCCATTCGGCCACACCAAAGAAATCCAAAATGAGAACTGACCGATTGTAAACTCTCACCATAATTGAATATTCCCGAGATCTAGACGCCTGCTGTTGTATTCGTATACCCCCCCCCCCCCTCCCAACCTGGGGTGGGGCACCCTAACACTGGGATTCCCTATGTGGACGGGGGGGGGGGGGGGGGGGTACTTAAAGGGCCTGCAAACCCTAGCTTTCACCGCTGGAGGACGGAGCCCCTAAGGCGGAGAGCGCGGCGTGTGACGTGTGGCGTGAGACGTGGAGACGACGTGAGCGCGCATGACGTGGAACGACCCAAATGTGTGGACGCATGACGTGTGACGACCTGAACTGAAAAGGGATGGAAGAGAGACGTGAACCACAAAACTTGAAAGTATAAAACAGAGAGGACGAGGACAGGAGCAGGACATCTTTCAAAGATATCCTGTTCCCGTCCTCGTCCTCTCTGTTTTATACTTTCAAGTTTTGTGTCTATTAACCAACATGCTCGTTTTCAATTGTGAGACGTGAAGCGTGTTGGACATGACATGTGTGGACGCATGACGTGTGACGACCTGACCTGAAAAGGAATAGAAGTGTGACGTGAAGTGTGATGACATGTGGCGAGTAGGACGTGGAGTGGGTGACGTGAGATCGAGACGTGTGACGCGGGACGTGGGACGCTGCGTGGTGATCCGAGACGAGGCATCCATATAAGGTGAAGGTCTGACATAAAAGTGGGGAACCCTCTTATCTTCCCAAGTAGGGAGGCGCCTCCGCATTATGGCGGGGTGGTCTCCAGGGGAGCCGAGGGATATAAAAGTAGACTTGGACGTAGTTCAACTACTCTACCCAAACTACTGTAGTTTAACTACTTTCCGAGTAACTTGGTAACTTTCAATTACAACTTTGTATGGGTAATTAGTAGTTTACTTTAACTACGTTTTTCAGGTAACTTCTACTCAAATTACTAACTACTTTCGAAACCTAATCCCTTTTTTTTTTCTCATCGCAAAAGTTTGAGCGCAGAAATAAATAAGAGGCTGGCAGATTCAGTGGTATTCACGAACAAGGGGCCCCTTACATTCCGTTCTCACGTTCGGCAGCCGTAGAAACTGCATCACAGGCGTCCTTGGGCCAAGGTGGCGACGAGCAGCCAAAACATAACGCCGGTGCGCACGAACGCAGAGAGCCTTTGTCGGGTATTTACCTAATCCGGTATTGCACGCAGGCGCCGCGCCTCTAGCTGCAACCGTGAAAGACGGGGACACTCCGAGGGTTGTTGTTCTTTTCATGTTATGTGCCTTTAGTGAGTCCTGACTCAAGTGGTAGGTTCCACGGTAGACGCCACTGGAATGACCTCGCAGCTGGGCGCCTAATCCCATGGTCGCCTCGTTGTCAGTGCACACTCCCTTGCAAAGCCGAACTCCTCCGCGCGCAAACGTAGACACGGATAATCCGTTCATGGGAGCGCGTTCGCGCTTTCAGCTGCAACTGTACGAGCGCCGATGCTTGCTCACGTAATCCTTCGCGTCCTTCCGACCTTCCACGCCAGGGAGACCTCTTCTTTGTTAAAAACGTTTTCTTGTCAGGCGTGTCATGCGCGTCAGGATACCGTAGTCGCCGGGGAGGATTTCGAGTCACTTTTGGGAGATCCTTTTGTTGGACCCAACGTCAAGGGCAAAAAGCAATTTTTTTTTTTTAAGTGGCGTAGCTATAACACTACAACGAGACGTGCAGTCCTCCGGATGATCTCATCGTCATGGCGCGAGAGTTGATTCCTTGACGGTCAGGTGCACTCGCTCGGCGAAATCTTCGAACGTCGTGAGAATAAAGCGGGGCCGGTCATAACAATCTGAACTTGCCAAAGAAAAAGAAAAAAAAAGAGGAGAGTTTGTTATAAAAGACCCTCAGCAGAAGCAAGCCTCACATATTTCGCCATGGACACCAAAGATGCCGACACTCGCTTACCCGACCCTGCACAGCCCGCTTCTGAAATTGAACGCTGCGTTTGCATCCAGCGCCACGGTGGAACGTCTTTTTATCTTGACTGAGAACGTTGTTAAAGGGAAGTTACGGAGCTTCTTGGAAAAAATGAGTTAGAAGTGAATTCTAGTGTATTTTTATCCCGTGAACCCGAATACCCAAACCATTTGCTGCGTAAGTATTGTTAAACGCGAGAAAAACGCGAAAGACAGTCGCTGTCCGTGACGTCATCGACGGCTCTTTTGGCTGCTCAAGGCTAGGGAGGCGGGGCTTCAGTCCTATTTTGAAATTGCTCGTATGGCTCTCCGGCGGGTCGCATTGAAATACAATTTTGATATTTGTTAAGCTAAAGGCCAAATCAACGCAATTCAAGCGTTTTTTCTCAAATGTAGAAGTGCCCCATCTTCCCTTTAAAAGGAAAAGGGGAAAACTCTCCGATAACAACTTTGAAAGACAATTTCTTCTGCGAGCGATTAAACGATTGTGGAAGTCATAAAATGACTGCATTTATTTCAGGCTCGCAGGGTTTTTCATTGATGAAAACTGCTGTTCATTTTGCTGCCACAAAATATAAAAAGTAACTTCGAAAGTAACTTCAAAGTAACTTGCTACTTTTTTTCAGTAGTTAGTAGTTTACTCAATTACTATTGCAAATGCGTAATTTCTACTCTCTCCAACTACTTTTAACGTCCATACTCAGTGACTTGACTTAACTACCTTTTTTGAGTAATTTGTACATGTCTGTATAAAAGTGATCACTGCGACGGGGCTGTGCGGTTCATGGTGGCCATACAGTGACCGTCGGACCCGCTGTGAGACGCACTCGTGTCCTAGTAGCGGAGACGGACAGTGAGTCGGGCATCGGTGGTGCCTTTATTACCGGCTGGTTTTTCCTGCGCCGTTCCACTGGCTGTGCAGATTGATGGTTCCCTTTAATTCCCATTAATTTCTAATTGGCATTTCCAAGAAATGTCCACTTAATCCAAGAATCCATTTCATTTACTTTAAATTGGCTTTAAGTCTGCGGTGCGAAAGCGGGAGCGGACTAGAGACACAACAGTTTTCCTATTTCTTTAAGACTCAACATAGCAAATGTATTCGTATAAACCTTATAATGGTCCCGCTTATTTTAAATTTCTTCGTGGATCATCAGTAGGTATCTGCTCGCTTAAAAGTTTGAAGAACTAAAGTTTCCTGTAATTTTGCCAAAGAAGAAACTATGATAAATGCTTTATCATCAAGAAAATTACCCAAATCAAATCAAATTTGGGGGCTTTACGTGCGAAACCAACGACGGGCATCTGGCACGTCCTAGCGGAGGGCTGAGGGTTAATTTGGACCACCTAGGGGATCTTTTGACGTGCAACCGAAAGCTCCGTTACACGGCGACTTCTCGAATACTGTCTTAAATTATGATATTATTCAGGGAGCTATTAATGGTAAAAATTAAAATCAGAAAAACCAAACATGTTATATTGATTATTAAGAAAATCTTAATTTCTTCAGAATTCTAATTCACTACTGTGAACCACACAATGTGTTATGAAAAGTTTACGCTAGTTTAAAGGCCTATTAGGCAAGGTTTCATTTTAATGTTTTTCAATATTTTTCTAAAGCAACGACGAAGTAATGGCGTTACTTTAGCGAAGTAACTCTAACTGCAATAAGTTACTCTTTTGCCTTTGTAATTGTAACTGTATCAGGGTTACTTTCTTTATCTGAGTAACTGTAATTCTAACACTGTTACATTTATCAGCAACGTGCCCATCACTGCCGTAGACTGCATCAAAAATGCCGAAGAGCACAAGCTTGACATCCCTGTGAGTGACCACCTACTTCGTCCTTGTCAAGCTGATGATTATAATCAGTGTTGCGCTCTCCAATAGCTTCAGCAGCCCCCAGAAATCAGCACTCCATACTCATGCAAGTAATGTTACACTGCTAAACAACTGGCGTCCAATTTCTGTGCACATTCGTGAGCGTTCTGCTAAGACATGAAATTACTTTAGCGACATCGACTGATCAGAACTGCGCCTTCGGACTCTCTCGTCACACACGAAAGTTCACACACCTTTTACCTAACACTATAGTGAAGAGTTTTTTTTTCTGTCACCCTGGTTGTGCATATAGAAGAACAAATAGAGCTATTATACTCATTATTATCATTCATTCATATATCCTAGAAATTCTAAAGACCGTAGTTAAAAAAAGTACGGCAGATGTTCAATGAATAGGCTCAATCGACTACTTCCTCCTCGTACTCAAGTGCCTACTTTGCCGGTGGAATCAGGTACAGCCACGTGTATTTAATTCGGACTTTTTCGATGTTGAGTAAACTCAAGATGGAAAGGTTAGACGCATTCAATTACCGCTGGAGACTGCTGTTTGTCTTTTCTCCCCCTTGTTACCCTTCTCCGGGGATTAATAACGTTATTCTTGGGCAGCTCGTTTTTACCTTTGCATTAATTGCATCATCATCATAACCGTGAAGTGCGGGCCGTCCGTTCTTGTTAGTGTTAGACTGGTGGCATCTGTTTAAACCCGTTTTCTCAACTGGCATGTTACTCCTGGTTAGCCCACTTAATAGAACGCTCCACTGGAAATGAAGAGGTCCCTGGTTGGGTACCACGACCAGACGGATTTTTTCAGCCGCACGTGTCACCTAATTGTGTTCAGATATTTGTGCTTTTTCCTTTGTCCTCTTTGGTCATATTCTCCAGGGAATATTATCAATATTCTTGACAAGCTCGCTTAAACCTTTGCAGACCATTACCAACACACTCTGGCGAAATTCAAAGGGAAAGGGGTGACCCAACTTACCTGTCAATGCTCGTTGCAGCAATGGTAAACGCAGAGGAAGAGACTGTTAGATTGGCCACAAAGTTGTTAAAGATGCAGTAGGTGGAACCAAATGCCCAATGGCTCTCCAACATGTATACCAAATTAAAGATGGCGTTGAAGGTGGCTGTCATCGCGTTCGCGATAGACAGGTTCACAAGGAAGTAGTTGGTCACAGTGCGCATGCTGCGGTGAACCACCACAATCCACACGACGACTGCGTTTCCAAAGGCGGCTACAAGCACCATAGAGCCGAAAAGCACACCGTAGATGAGTTGCACCCACCATGGTAGCACCCACTGGCGTTCACTGCCAACCTCGATCACGGAAAACTCGGACGTCGTGTTCAAGAGGTCTGGAAACATCTCCAGCAGGACAGACAAGTTGCCAGCACCGCCGGTGCTGTTGATAAACTTAGCGAGGATGTCAGCCGCTGCGGCAGACGAAGAAGGCTTCCAAGACATGTTGGCGTCTTATTAAGTTCTCGCGACTCAGTTGTCGTTGACGCTTGATGAAGATTCAACGTGCTCTGGATAGTTGCATCCTTGGCACTCGTCGAAGATTTGGCATCCACTTTTTTATGAAGCGATGGTTTCCGGGATAGTAAACATGCTGGCGAAACAAATGACTGCGTTGAGGCACTCACACGAAAATATGGTCGGACCAATTGTTTACGCTTTAACCATAGCGGAAAATTAAGTCCACAGATCATCCAGAAGAGCGACAGTTTATGGCATCACCTCGGTAATGTTATTTATTACAGTTATAATTAAGTTAATTCCTCACTTTCTTCCGCGTTGAATGTGATGATAAACGACTAGGGGTTGACAGCAACCGAGAGAAAATTTAGGAGCACCGGCCGTCCGCGGGCACTCCCGCCGACTGATCCCGCCGGGGAGTCGCGAGAGTCGTCGATCGACTCCGCGGAACCTGCTCCCTCGATTGGACAAAGAAAAAAGCAGTGTGACGTCACTTCGACAGAGGTGACGTCACATAATCGGTCGAGAACTCTTGGCGCGGGAAAAACTGGCGAGCATCGTCTTGCGGCGGCGTAAGCAATTAGGTGCACTTAGAGTTTGCTTGGACGGCTAGTCAATGGTGTGTCCGCTCCTTTCGCATCCTTGTTCCTCGGTGTCATAATAAATTGACTTCTACTAAGGATGAAAATTGAGTCCTTCGATGTTTCGCTGAGCGCGGCGTATTACCGCGCATATGGTATACAGTATTTTTGCTTCAGCGTCGTCGAAATTTCTTCTTTTTTGTTTCATGGAACACGTAAGTATATTCGTCTCCAGTGCAGTTATGCCCTTTCAACATTTGTCGTCACGCTTATCACGTTTCATGGTAAAAACATTGGTGCGCTGTCACAAATATACTTTGAATATTGAAGGGCAACCGATTTCTATTGATAGCTTGTTCTGTAGCCCAGGTTTTGAATATGTTTTCCTTGAGAGCGCTCGTCCTGTAAGCGAATCAGGTTACACTTTGTTCCAGCTTACAATATACGGCAAAGGACACTACGAGTCACAGGAGCCAATTCACAGCTCGGAGGGCGTCCCTTGCCCGCCCGGTTGGGCGGAGCGACGCGGGGAGCGCTAAGGCACGAGACAAGCTACGGACTAAGGATTGGCTCGTGTAGCTCGTAGCGTCCATCGCGACAGATCGTAAGGTGAAACCGAGTATAGTACACATGGCGTTTCTCAAAACGCGCGTAAAATTTCTCCTGCAACAAATACGCATCTCACACACACCACACACACACACACACACACATAAAAGTTTGATATATTTTGTAATTTAGTTTTTGTTTGTTTTGAGTAATCAATTTCTTAATTAGTGAAGTTGAAGCTATTGTTTCAATTAAAACGTTTCTGTGCATCATCGGAAACCGCTAAATTAGTGCATTTTACATCATACGCTATTTACAGCACACAGCATACTGCATACAGCAGTCAGTCATGGTATTTTTTTACTCTGTATATTTTTTTCATTGAAACCTCTTTTTCAGGTTATGTTTCCTTCATAAATGTGGGAGTAGCATATAAAATTTGAGTGAGAACAAAAAATATATATGTCGATCCAGTGTGCATCATCTTGCAAAAACAGACCCTATAGACGATTTTGTTTTAAGTGTGTATGCCGCGTTGACTCAGGTGTTCGTGAGTTCATCATTCCTCCCTCGCCATAATTTATAGCACACTCAGCGCCTTCCAGCAAAGATTGGTGGCCCACAGACCGCGGGCTGGGTTGGTAGCTCGATCCGGGCCTAATAAGGCAGTTTTATCCGGCCAGCTGCGACCTTTACGGAGCAGCAACTCTTTCTGAGTGAGCCAAACTTTTACTGACCTTTTCGATCAATACCACCCACAATATTCATAATCTGTGCACCGCATTTTCGACGTCACCAAAGTGAGATCGATCGCAGACCCCGATTGGTCACGAAGGCTGCGTCAGCGTTCGGCTGGGGTTTGTGTCCAATCAGCGCGTTGCACCACGCTCGGTGTCTGGCTCGGGCCCAATTGCTGAGTCGGCGCCATCCGAGTGCGATGACGTCACGTGGAGGTAAAAGAAGCTGCTCACTAGGGCACGAAACATAGGGCGATTTTTATTCAAGCCATGTATAATAAAATTATTTTATATAAATCGGAGATTTTTTTTTATTGTGCATCGGATTATTATTTTTTTGAATGCGTGCGCTTGTCTTCTGTCTTTTCGTGTTTGTCTTCTGTGTTTGTGCATACAAGTTTACTCAGTATCACGAACCAACTGTCGAAACTACAAGTGTTGCTAAGCTAGAAGAAGAGGGATTCTTTATTACTATATGTATTTTTAGACGTGGCAGAAGGATTGATCCAATCCATTTCATCAATAAAAAAAATAAATATGGGTTAGTGTGCATTTTAATTTCTTTAATTAGATTTTAATTAACCACTTTTTCTAGATGTCAACACGCCACACTAGAAAAAACAAAAATTAGACTGTTTTAGTTAATAAAAAAAGCTTATTTGTTTTGTTTTACGCGACCCGATTTGCTTGTAATAAGACATAACTTTCCTTGTTTTAGCCTCGTTCTTTCGTGTTTTGATATGGTTGCACTAGCCACGTTGCGTAGCTGAGAAGGTACAACAAACAAGGATACGCTGCACGTACTGATGTGCTCAGAAGAGTTGTATATGTTCAACTTGATTTAGATCTTTTTTACTTGGTTGTCCTTTGTTTTTAAATACAAAGCAAGTGCAGGTACAGATGGCCAAGTAGTTGACACACAGTGCATAAAAATTATTTTGGAGAATATAATTTTTTTTTTAGAAATGTTTGATTTGAATCATTGAACTAAAACCGCCGTCTTAACGCCGATTTTAGTCTGATCACGACTTAAAATCACGACTTAAATCGTAATTTCAATCCTGGTAATTTTTGTTCTTCTCATGCTACCTTGCTGTAATTATTCTTGGTTGTTTTGACTAAATTGGACTATAATATTCCCGGTGTCAGCATGCTGAAGAGCAAGGAAGAAAAAAAGCAGTACTATAAAATTCCATCTGAAAGTGTCTTCTTAAATATTGAAAAATAAAACAAAAATATGTATTTCCTTATACAGAGCTTTTGATATTAACTCGAACATCTCTATTTTAAATAAAGGGATGTGTGTTACACGGATGACATCTTCACCGTGTTTCTGTCAGGCTCGGCAGACATCAGATCACGCAAGAAAGGCTAAAACACAGTGCGAAAAACCGCCCCACAACCAGACGAAAGGCGGAACACGGATAAGGTGTTTCAGGCTATTTTCGACAAACGCGCGCCTCTAACCCGTCCAAAAATATGGCCCATGGGCCCGGTCAGAAATATGCTCCCGGTCTACCTACCGCAAATACTCTCGTTTGGTTCGTTTTGCAAAAAACGGCGTGGAAATATTTGATTTGAAGTTCTTTTTTGTTTTATCGGTTTCTTCGTTTGTTTTCGAAGGGCTGAATATCTTGGTAGATCCTGGAGGGACATATCTCCAGAGGACCCTTACAGGGACATTGACTGGGGATTCACGCTCGCCAAGGTTTTTATTTATACATGACATATGAGAGCCCAACTGCCCAGAACACTATTCGCGGCTCAAAATTCGTTTTCTTTCCGCCCGAAAACCGCCGATCGAGAACTGGCCGGTGTTGGTCGCGCTCACTCTCTTCTCCGTGGTCACGTGCCGTTTTCTATGGTTTAGACAAAATCACCAAATATAATCAAAGTTGTGGGTCTTCGAAGGCCTACACGCAATATTAAAGATAGAAACAAAAAATAAGATACCCATTTTTGTGGCTTCTAAAAAGCTGCAAATACGTTGATTGTGGCAAAAAAGAACCACAGCCACGGGACTTTCCCCAACTCTCTCCTCCTCTTTACTTCTTCCTCCCCCGCTCCTATTTCGGTTTCGGTTTCGAGAAGTTGCGTTTTTTACTTTATCAAAAAATTAGACCTGACGCTCTAGCAAGATATTCATTGGGTAGTATTTTGACACCACAATGAATTGCCTGGCAAAGATGAAAATTAAATTTTGGGCGGTGTCAGTGTCCCTTTAAAGGCCGACGTACAACTTCTCTCTTCAGAGGGTAAAATAATCCTTTTGGCGCTCTCCTTTTCTATGGTACGCGGGTAGCCAAGTTGGGGCAATGTAAAAAATGGAGGGGGTATACCAAAGGAGGAGGTGGACAAAAGTGGAAAGCGCCAAGTGTACGGCGGCCTTTAACGTGATAATGCCCGCGTACGAGCCGTTGGGAGATCAGAAAAGTAGCCCTCACAGTGATACTACGAGAGGCGAGGAGCCTCTTGCACAGAAAGATAGCGACGTGGCATTATCGACGGAATGCATGCTGGAGCGTTGACCGCTACTTTTTGTAACGTAAAAGATGGGAGACGTTGGTGATTCCCTGCAATGCCGAATTAGAGCGCAGCTCTTGATGTGGAGGAGGGGCATACCCTCCTCTCCGTACCCTCCTCTTCTCCCCTGCCATTGAGCGGGAAATTGTCGCTAAATTTCCCGCTCTTGAGCAGGGGAGGATACGGAGAGAAGGGAATGCCCCTCCTCCTCCTCCCCTCCCTTCCTCCTCCTATCTCTCCTCTCTTGAGGTATTTTGATTTTGTCATATACCGCTCACCACTTTCCGAGAAAGATATATATATATATATATATATATATATATATATATATATAACGGGCATGGTGGCGGGAGGCCGAAGGCGAGGGTATAAAACTGAGAAGAAAAAAACGCTTAGTGAAAAACAGCAACAACGGACGATTTAATCTTCGACGTTTCGACCAGTCCGGAGGCCGGACTCCGGTCGAAACGTCGAAGATTAAATCGTCCGTTGTTGCTGTTTTTCACTAAGCGTTTTTTTCTTCTCAGCTTTATATATATATATATATATATATATAGTGGGCATGATGGCATAAGAGCCAAGTGGCCGAAGGCGT